CCGCCCCCGCGGGGCCGCCTGAGGGACCCCCGCTCCCGCGCTCGCTGCCCGCGGGGCCGTACCTGCGTGCAGCCCTTCAGGAACAGGGCTCGGAGCCCCCCGCAGCCCCGCACCAGCGCCTGCAGCCCGTCCTTGGTCACTTGGTCGCACCAGGAGATGTTCAGCTGTTCCAGCAGCGGGCAGCCCTCGCTTCGGAGGTGAAAGAAAAAAAAAACAACAAACAAATCGATGGGGGAACCTAGGTTTGTTCAGGAAAGAAATCACCCTTTGAGAATCTCGGCACCGCAACGTTTCTGCCAGGCGACCTTCTCCAGGAGCTCTAAAGCAGCGTTTCAGCAGCGTAAAACCACCACGGGTTTATCCCTGCCAGTTCCCGCAGGAGGACAGACGCTCTGGGCTTTCTGGATCTCACCACAACCCCAGCCCAGGGTGGGTTTCGGGCTTGGCAGGCGCGACTCTGCGAGGAGCTCCCTAATCTGAAGTCAGGGAGAGACACCCGCCCACGCTCTCATGTTTTTAAGGCACCCGCAGCGCAAGTCTGACCACGTGAGACTAGAGACAAGGACGAAGACCCTCGAGGGAAGGAAAAACCAGGCTCAAAGTATTTTAACGCATCCACAGAGATAATTTCGTTGTTCATTTGCTCTTTCAGATCTGCGTTTACTTCGGGTGTCTACGATTCCGTTATTTTTTCCCCCATGAGACAGCGTTCCTCTATTTTCTTTTATTCCACCACTTGATTTTTAGATTTTTTTTAACAGGTTGGCCCCTATTGTTACCTTGAGTGGGGTTTTTTGCCTCCTTCTCTCTGTCCCAATATCTTCCCACCAATGTCTGTCTGTCCCTTCCTTTTCCTAGTTTACTTGGCCATTCCACTGAGCAGATTTAAGCAGTTCTATGTCTCCCGAGCAGTTTAAAAACACAAACAGTCACACGCTGGAGGTCACCTTCTACTTCTGCCGACAACCCCTGAGCACGCGACGGTGAAGAAGCCGCCTGTGAGCAAACGGGGGTTTGAAAAAGGCGGACTGAGACCTCTGCCTTCCCCCAAAATCCTTTTTCCAAAGGTTTAACAGAGCGTGGTTCTTCTCTTTCTGCTCGTAACCACTGGCATGGAGACAAGGAGGGCTGAGGACAGCCCTGAGTCCTCCTCCTTGGTCTCGGCACAGCAGGTGATCGCCGAGCCACGCATCCCGACCCCGGCACCATAGGAGGGATGGGGAGGGGGCAACGGTGGCTCTCGCGACCTGGAACCGCCCGGCCAAAGCCAACCCGGGGTCGATTTGCCTCCTACCTGAGAGCTTTCAGGGAGAGGTTGGTTATGGAGGTGCAGGAAGCCAAATCGAGGTGCCTGAGCTTCGAGCAGAACTTACTGAGGCTGGTGCACGTGCTGGAAGAGAGCACACGGGACACAGATTCACTCCCAGTCGCTGAGGGACGCGCGTTACGTGATCTATGAGCCCTTAAAACCCAGGGATGGAGCACACACAGAAAGGGAGAACCCCAGCATGTTCATGGGGTTGGAAGGGAGCTCGGAAGATCATCTAGTCCAAGCCCCTGCCAGAGCAGGATGAGAAGAGTTTTACTCACGCATCTGTGATCTTGGTGCAGCCGTTCAGGTTCAACACTTCAATATTCCTGCAGTTCTGTGCAAACGTCCTTTATTAAAGGGAGGGAGGAAAACAAGGTTATTTTTCAGGTGAGGCACCTCTGGATGTTTCACGGCGTTTGTCTGAGGCCGCGGCACGTTCAGCACAATTTTATTTTGTCTCCGACAAAATAAGTAAAAAAATGAAATAAATATTTTATGTCACCCTAGATCTTGCCTTGGGATTTCCCAGCCTAAAGGCAAAAGCTTGTAACTCGGTGCCAATTGCTACTCAGCCTGTAGCAGCAGCTGGCATTATTTTAATGAGAAGCGAGAAAAATTGCTACTGCACGAAACTAAAAAAAATGATAAATTAAAAAAGGCTTCAACATCAGCGCTCTCGATGCTTTGTTAGACACAAAGGCTAGTGACCTCAGCGCCAAAGCATCCCAGAATTCTTCCCAATCCTCCCCTAGAAACCGATTCATTCCTCACATCACACCGGGAAGAAAAAAGAGAATTTGTGGAGCTACCTTAACGCGTTGTCTCCCACTCCCTGGCAGCCCCGCAGGCTCAGCTTGCGCAGGAACCCGCCGCATCGCTTCGAAATGTTCTCGACTACTCGACCCTGGGCGAGACAGAGGGAATCGCGGTAAAACCCACCCTGTGGGTCACAAAGCCGCACGCTACATTTTGCAGTTTAACAAGTTTGTTACTCTAGAGCAAGGGGAAAAACCAAAAGGCCACGGGAATAACCGAAGGCAGGGAGAGGAAGAATTATTCAGCTTCTGAAGATGGAGAGACAAGGAATAATTAAAAGGGGTTATTTTAACTCTTCTCTCCACAAATCAGTATTTTCCCCAAGGTGTGAATTTTCGGTCATCACCTGGGTTACGTCTGTCTGTAACGAGTCAAAACGATGCAGCCTCAAGCTCCCTCCTGCAACGTGTTTTAAAGATGATATGATAAGAGAAATTGAGGGGTTTTGCTCATCCCTTTTCCTAATTAATACAATGTTAACGTTAAGAACAGCAGCCATTCCCAGCAGGGCCGTGTAGCTCACCTCCAGCGGAAGGACAGCAGCTACGACGAAGCCTTTCCAAACCTGGAGCAACTTTCCAAACTTTTCGGGGACAATTTTGACCTCCTCCCATGGAATCACCTTCCCTTAAGTTTCGAATTTTGGTATTAAAGACAGGAAAAGCATAGACATATCACAGCCTACGTCGGTGCTACGTCAGCATTTCCTTCAGCGAAAGGAAAAGCAGCCGAAATTCTGCCTCGCAGAAGCAGGCACACGCCTATTCTTACTTATTTCTGTTTTCAGAACACACACCAAAAAATACTTGCCTTCTGTTCACTACCTTTGAGTACAGATACACATTTCTGCCCATTTTCAAAAGCTGAACGGATTGCCAGGACTCTAAAGACTCCCTGAAGCTCAGAAGAACTGGAATTAATGATTTCTACCTCCAGGGAAGGTAAAAAGGGTTACGCTGGGAGTATTAATCCATTCTAGGCTGTAATTACATTTTAACGTGAAAAATGGGTTTGTATGTCACTTAATTATACCTCGATATCCCTCTGGAAATCAAAGAGGTCAATTCGCTGCCAGTTACTGCCATCCAGGGCCAGAACGTTCCACGCCTTTAGCGGGGGGAAAAACGTAAATGCATTGTTAATAGGGAAAAAAAGTAAAAATACAAAAAAAAAAATTAAATCCCAGCAGCAACCTTGTTATGTCTTTTGAGAAACAACATTCTGTCTCAATCGTTGGGTGGCACAAAGCTCCCCGGGACGAACCCTCCCCGGCTGGCCCGGAGCGAGGATCGTCACTCGAACCCAACTCGATGTCAAAACCCACCAGGGAGGAGGGAGGTTCTTACCCTGGAAACTTGAGCACAACGACACAGAGTGACCACATCCAGGAAAGAGAAAATCCTGCAACAGAAATAAAGGATATCTTATTGCTGATCCACAGGGAAAACGAAGAGAACGGGGAAAATAAAGGGGAGGGGGGAAAGACTGGAGAGAGCCAAACTTCTTTGTA